AGTTTAGAATCATATGGGGGCATAAACCCTCTCTTCCCCAACTTGCTTTTTGTCAGAATACTTTTACTACAGCAAGAGAATGAAACTAGGACACCCGCTTTCTCCAACTAGGTCCCATCTCTTAAAGCCCTCGCCACCACCCAACAGGTATCCCTGAAGTCTCTTCTGATCATCAGATTTTTATGGAATGCTCTTTCTGGAACTTTATAAATGTTCAAGAACTTCATTTACAAACAACCCTTTTCTGCCGATGGCTTGCATGTCTCTATCTGGGTTTCAACATTGTCTCCTAACAGGATATTACAGGAAACCGCACACCTATCTGCTAACGGTAACACCACTTAGTCTCTTGGCCCTCAGCAGAGGATCCCACGAGAAGGAGCAGCCAGTGGAGTCTGACAATCCTGAGTTCAGAGGTGTGATGAGGACAGGGTCACAGTCAAGGGAAACTGTCATTAGCCACTCACACTTGAGAAAGAAAACGACCCCAGTCCTGTTCCATCTCCGAGCTTGAGTCTTTGATTTCTCTTTTTTAAATTATAGAATAGCCACACCAAAAGAGGTTTTAAACATATACAGACCACCTGAAGAATAATAATGAAACCAAACCCCACGTGCCACAGGCCTGGACCGAAGCCTTGCCAGCATCTCAGAAAGTGCGTGCGTGCTCTGCCACACCTCCTCTCCACAGACCCTCTCCACCTAAGGTAACCACCGCCCTCAATTTCGCTGTCCTCATTCCTTGGGCTTCATCATTTTACCTTCTACATGTGCACTTCTAAATCAAACATCACCTAATTGCTACCGACATTTTCAGAAGGAGAATCATACAATAGGGGCTCTCTGTCAGCTTCTTCCTCTCAACATTGAATGCTGAGTTCAATCTAAAGTAATAATAATGTATATACTATAGTAGTCATGTTTTAATATATAATAGTAATGTTTTAATTTTGCTTCTTAATAATCCATTGTAAAAGTCTAGCACCGTCTCTTTATTATACTGTATATTGGTGTTTTGACTAAATCCATTATCTTCGCTGTTATAGAAAATTATAATACAAATGTTTATGCATTTCTACAGGGTACACAGTGGGGTGGAATCACTGGCTCACATAATGTATGGATGTGTTCAATTTTGCCAGAAAACTCCAGTCAGTTCCCCAAAATGGCTGCGCAAGCTTGCTCTCTCACAGCAGATCGGAGTTTGTTACTCCACATCTGTTGTGTGACTTTTGGGGGAGAAATAAAAAAATAGGAATTCACCCCCAAAATGGAGACAGAGCTGGCAGACTGGAGACTAAGACCATCAACTCCACCTTGATAAATGAGTTTATTGGTGTTACTGACAGACGGGCCCGTGTAGTCGTAACACCAAAGCCCCCACCCTTAACTTCGGGGCAGAGAGGGGGGATGGAATCCCTGCTGTGAAGGTCACCACCACCACCATCATCATCACCACCAAGAGGGAATGTTGACCAACACAGCTATCTGCTGTCTGGTTCCGTGTTCTTTGAGTCGTGACTGTGGGTCACTGTCTCCTGCCAATCACCACAGGCACTCAGCTTCACAATGCTGATGGTCACGTCAAGGCCAGAGCCAACAATCCTGTGCCAGGACACCAATATCATCAAGAGGCACTGTGCCATCTTTACTTGGACATGTAACAGCATCTCTCTGCCGTCTTCCAAAGTTGTCGGTGGAGCTAAGGATTTCCATGAGCGCCTATCTTTTTGTCCACTACTTGATTACAAAGCATAGATTTTAACACGCAGAGTCAGTTTTATAAAATGTCTTTCAGGATCTAACTTATCTTTTTACTTCAGGAGATCTTGTGAGGAATGTGTTCTTAATTTATTTAATTCTTTCTTTACTGTGTGTATATCATGACCCCAAAGTGTCAGGGGCATCTGATAAACTATATCCCAGAAGTTCTATTTGCCCTCTCCTGTTCGGTCACCTAATTCACATGGGTTTATTTTTAATAGATTATGAAGAATCAAATTCCTTTTTTTCTTTTAGTAAGGACAATCAATTTTCTCAGCACTATAAATGGCTAATTCCATTCTTCTCCAATGATTAGCAATGTCCACTGTGAGAAGATTGGAGGTTCCATGTGTATGCCACTTATTTACTTGGTTTTTCTGAGGCACGGTCTCACTAAGTTCTCCTGGTGTGGGACTCACTGTAAAGACCAGGCTGGCCTTGAATTCCTAGAGATCCACCTGCCTCTCTCTGTCTTCAAGTGCTGGGATTAAAAGTGTGCGCCACCAGACCAGACTCCGCCCACTTCCTTTCAGGCTCTTCCTTCTAGTCCAGTGTCCTCTGTGTCTGCCACCATCTTGATTTAGATTACTTTAAGATGAATCTTGCCACCTGATAGAAGAAACCCACACCCAGCTCATTCCCCTTGTTTAGAAGGCTCTCCACCCTTTGTTACACTGTATATACTCTAGAATTGCCTTCTCAAGTTCCAAATCTCAATGGCCTCGCATTGAATCCAAAAATAGCAGTTTGGAGAATTTATATCTTTATAATGCAATAGATTGTGTATATGAACATGATGTATGTCTTTATTCAGATCTTAATGTAATGTACTTCAATAATGTTTTAGAATTCTTCATAAATTTTTTCATACTTTATGATGTATTTATTTCCTAGACTTCTTTATATTTTTGTTCCTAATGTGAATGGTTTATTTTAAATTTTGCAACTGATTGTTATTGATGTATAGAAATTGAATTGACTTTTGTATATTGATTTTGTATCCAGCAACTCTGCTAAAAGTCTCACTTTTAATTCAAATAACTTATAGTTTCTTATGGGTTTTCATATAGTCAATAATAGATCTTCAAATAATAATAATTTTGTTTCTTCTCTCCTAAGGCTTGTACTTCATATTTAATTTTTAAAAATATGTCTTGGGCTGATGCCTGCCACCTCCTCCATTGGCAATAATAATCACTATTCTCTCTCTTCCTTTCAGACAGGGTCTCCTGTAGCCAGACTGGTTTCAAACTTCTCACTTTCAATAATGAGGAAACTTAGCCTCAGAGAATTTAATTTGTCCAAAGTCTCATCATTAGAAACAGAAAAGAAAATCAGTCCTCCAATTCAGACTCAACCCCTCCAGATCCATTCTGCCTTCTCCGCTATGGGCTCCTTTTCCTTTCTCCACAACTAAGATGCGTTTGATTTTTTTTTTTAAATAGGTCACATAAAAACATCAAATTGCCACTAAAAAAAAGTACTTTCATTTCTTCTGCTTGAAAAAAAAAAAAAAAGAGGGGGTGATTTTAAGTTAACCACTCCATCTGTACTATCAAGAAGTCCCAGGGGCTGGAAGGAACAGTTTGCCCTGTGGGTGTTTGCTCTTCCCTCCCAAGGTCAGCCAGAAGGTTGGGTGAGTGTTCATATTTCAAGTTAACAATCAAGGAAACTGAGGCTCGGAGAGGGGGATTCTCAGTGGGAAGCAAAAGAACAGTGTGTGCACGGTACATCAAAATGATGCGTGTGGAATAGCCCCCACCAGGGACGCGTTTTCCAGTCCCAGGTACCAATGACGAGGGCTTAGAAAAGGCCCTTGTGTGGTCTTTGCGAGTCTGTGGCGGCAAGGGACTCGTGTGGGGGTAGGGAGGAAGCCAGCTGGGGTCTTCTGCTCCTCTCCATGCACGTGTTCATTCACTTAATAAGCAGAGTTTTAGTAAGGGCCACCTGTCCCGTCCTAGTCCTAGATCTAAGGTTGAGAACAGAGCTGGGAACCAGCCACCAGCCATTCACAGTCTCTGCCCTGCTGAAGGATTCCACCCAGCAGGGAGTCAGCCCCACAAACCTCACTGCTGAGGACCTAGGGCTCCCAAACCCAGCCCCTGCCATCAAACAGGTCCACAAGGCTTGAGGATAGCGGGGAGTATCCCCCAGGTTTCTGTGTGGAAGCTGTCACGCCTCTCTGGCAAGCTGATGATGACCCTTGGGCTTCCCAGGGCCTGCCGCATCCCAGGTGCTGCTGGAAGCCTGTCCGTCAGCAAGCCAATTGAAGGGGAAATTGAATCCAGGGGCTCCTTCTGGTCTTGTTTGCTCACTTTTTTCTTAGCATGATCTTTGGTTTCATTATATTTAGGTGTTTCTTTTATTTACCCATGCACCAAGAAGAAGAAGGAGGGGAAATAAAGAAAAAAAGAAAAAAGGAAGGTGCCTCTTTAAGCCAAGCATGAAATGTATTAGGTGCCTAAAGTTGAGAATAATGGGCTCCCCCCACCCACCTACCCACCCTGGAAAGCTAGCCTACAGGAGGAGGGAAAAAAAATCCATTCAAATAATTTCGTTTAGTCCTAAGTATAAAATAACCGAAGTCAAGGTGTCTCCGCTGTTATTATTTTTTCTGATGTTTTTGACACCCGCATGTGGAGTTCTCCGGCGTTCACAGCTTCTAGAGCTGTGAGCTCCCACTCGGTATATCCGTAATACTCCTTAATATTTTCATTTTGATGTAATTTGCGGCCCCAGCTTTTTAAATATCCGCTCTGTAATAATGTTTAATTTCAGGGGTCACTCCGCCAAGGAGTATATTAAAGCTTATAAAACTCATTTCCAAAGCTCAAATATCAAGCTGTGATCAGGTTAGGAGGGCAGCATCTGTGAATATTTCATCCTTTATCATACTGATAATAAGGAGATGACAGAGGCGCATTATTACAATGAGAGAATTGCTCATTTCAGGCCTGGTGCTGGAAGCTGGGGTCTGCCGTGTGTATTACTCAATAAGACCAATTCTGATATGAAAAGCAAGTTTACTGAGGCACCACTGTGTCTTATTTGATTGGAATGAATAATATATGGAGCTGCCGTTCTGACTGCTGCCGGCCGGGGGAGGGGAGGCCTGCACAGAGAGGTGCACTTGGGGATAGACAGGGAAATAATTTATCAAAGGATGTGTTTTATGGCCTGAAAATAAAGTTAAGATAACCACTGTTTATTACAATCATTATTTCGGAAATCTGTATTCTGCAAACCTTAAACATGTGCCAGCTTACATGGGGGAAAGCCTCGTGATCCGTTCGTCGGGTAGCGATGCCTCATAATTAACTATTTGCGCATAGGGGCTGAGTGAACTTGACACTTGGGCTGATGCCTGCCACCTCCTCCATGGGCAACTTTCATTACTGCTTGCGTCAAGCCAACTTCATCAAGTGGAAACCTTAAAACACCGGCCTTGCTGGTAGGGGGAGGAGAAAATACTATCGGCTGTGAGCACCCAATAGGAAGCCCCTCTAATTACTGCCTCCTGCCCAGAAGCCCCCATCGCACCCACACTCACGCCTTCCTGTCGTGGTGAAAGCTGGTAGCTAGGGGGCAGCTTCTTGGTCGAGGATTCACGTTTCCTTGGAGCTATCCATTGGGTCTGTTCTTTCCCATTCTGACCCTGGCGTGCCACCGTCCACCCCGCTCCACCGTCCTCCACAGCTGCTCTTCACCAGGCCTCCTCCACTCGGCCTAGGATTGTGATCGTGGTCAGAAGTACATCCCTTGGCCTAGGATCGTCCTTCCTCTACACCATAGCTATTTGTCTTCACTTCCCGTCCACGTATCTCCTAAGAATGGAGTGCACCTAGTGCCCCACCAAGTCACATGCCATTCCCCACTTGGTTCATTCCCATCACCCCAAGGAGCCCAGTCCCTCAAGGCCAAGGCCTAATGCTATGCTGGTTACCAAGCCCACTGGCACTTCCCACTGTGTAATCAGCTTACCTTGATGGCCAAGTTAGTCCCCATCTTCTCAGAACCCTGCTGGGTTTTATCCTTTCCTCATTCCCTGTTTGCCTCTGGTTCCTCTTCTGGCAACTCTTGCCACCCTCCCTGAAGATGAGGAGCTACCACAGGCTTTGCCCTGACCTCTCCTTGTACCCCTGACCTCCCCTCGTACCACCCACTCTACTGACTTTGACTTAGAAATTGCAACTTATGATGATTGCTTTACACCGAGCCTTTCTTGGAGAACCAAACCCCTCTGTCTAATGGAGGGCCCCATTTGTACCCCAGTACAACCAGTGAAAATTAAACAACACAAACAGGCTTACACATGCTAGTCCTTCACCCCCCTCTTCCTCCCCCCATCCTCCTCCCCTCCTCTTCCTCACTCTCCTCATCATTTCTCCAGCTCCGCTGGAGAGAGAATCCTAAAAGTAAACCCAAACTAAAATGCAGGCCAACATCCTCAATCCTTTCAGGTCCCTTGGTCCCTACTTATAATTCTTTATCGAGCTTGATGCTTCTTTCTTATGATCTTAAAACTGACTATAAAAGTAACATGCACTTAAAAAAAAACTTTTCAAACGATACTGAAGTGGAGTAGGCAAAAAAAAACAACCATTAACATTTTAATAAGGATTACATCTGGTGCTAAAACAAGTTCAGTCACCCTGTGTTTCCTGGGCACCAACTCTGTTCCAATCATTACTCTAGGCACAGGCATTCATGTTCCCCTTTTCTCTACAAAAGTGGGGCCTAGTCATGCATATAACACCTTTAATTTAATAAAGCACATATTTTCATGAGGGTAGCTACGGAGTCACGTACTCCATTAAACAGTTAATAGTGTCCCATTAAACGCCTGTAGCACAATTTACTTACTTAAGTAGATCCCTGCTGATGAACATTTGGGTTACATCCAAAATTTGACATCAATAATGACTTTCAATAAACACTCTTCTACATAAATCTTTTCTCACTTGTTCAATTATTGCTTTAGAACAAGTTTCTAGAAGTGTGGAGTTGAATATGATTTTTTTCCCCCCAGTGCTCAGGATTGAGTTCAGTTAGGGCTGTTGCTCTACCACTGAGCTACTTCCAAAACCCACGAGTGTACGCAGGTTCGAGTACATGCGTGTGAGTACTTGTTCAGGCCAGAGGGTAATGACAGGCATCTTCCTCAATGATTCACCACCTTAGTTTTGAGACACTGTCACAAATTGTCTCACCATTTTGTCAAGGTCAGCTGGGGAGTAAACCCTAATGATCTTTGTGGCCCTGTCCCGTTCCCTCCCCTGGCACTGGGTTTCCAGGAGCATGCCACTACACACTCAGCTGAACGTTCAAACTTAAGTCCTAATGCTTGTGAGCCACCTGCCCAGCCCCCAAGTACACAGATTTCAAAGCTTTTTTTAAAATTACTATTAACTATTGGCAAATACCTTCCAATGATGAATTTCCCTCCCACCAATGTGAAAACATTCTTACATTTAGCTTTGCCCATTTTCCATCCTTTTGTTATTGCTTATATCGCTACTGGTGAGTTTCTTTCCATACTCCAACTGGCTACTGTGTTTCTAGTCTACAGCGCTTGTTCATTCACTGTCTTTGACAATTTGTTTGAAAGATGGTTCTTATGTTTCCAACTTAAGTGTTTATCAACTCCTTTTATCTTAGAAATTGCATGCTTAGAAATAAAAACAGGTTTTGTGTGTGTGTGTGTGAGAGAGAGAGCGAGAGAGCGAGAGAGCGAGAGAGCGAGAGAGAGAGAGAGAGAGAGAGAGAGAGAGAGGTGGCCTGAGGGTATACGTGTGCTTCGTGAGAATGCAGCGTCCATGGAGACCGGAAGGGGAGTCAGAGTCCCTGGAGCTGGAATTATAAGATATTGTGAACCGCCCAAGGTGGGTGCTGGAAACCAAACCCAGGTCCTCTGGAAAAGCAGCAATCACTCTAGAAACAGCCAGCTTTTGTCTACTATATAAGTTGCAGCCATTTTTAAACAGAGGGTAACTAGTCTTCTATATCTGTTCATAAATCTGGTCTCTGCTTTTAGAGGTCATGGTTAGAGAAGGCTTCCCACTACAAAGTTATAGCACATATAAAGATCTACATTTGTATTTTGTTCCAATAATTCTTCTATTTTCCCTTTTAGGTTTCAGGCCTTTACCTTTTAGAGTTGTTCTCAATGAGTGGGTTACTCATTTTTACAATGCCTTGATCAATAAAAACATAGGGTCATAACTGAAAAAATGTACAGCCAATAAACAAACAAACAAACAAACCCCAGTGCACTAGCCTAATAAAGAGTGACCGGGAAAGCAAACCAACAGAAAGACCCAGGCAATCATATGGCGTGAACTTCAGAACAAGTCAAGGACGCCTCTTCTACCATTTCTATCCAGAATCTATTGGAGCTCCAGGGCAGTGCAATAGGGAGGCAAAGTAGAGAGAGCGGGTATACAGACGAGAAAGGAAGAGTTAAATGGTCTTTGCAAAGAGCGTAATTATGGGAAATTCCAGGACAGCTACCAGAAACCACTTAACAGAACACAACTTTTAACACTACAAATCATGGAATAATAATAATAAAAATGTGCAAAAACACTTGGTGCCTTCTAGATCTAACCAAACAACAGGAGAATTAGAGCTTGACACAGTTTGGAATGAGGTTGAAGTTTAAGGTAAAATGTTTAGAATACACTTAAGAAAGATGAATGAGACGTTCACACTGCACACTGCAGAAGAAATTATACATGACATATATGTAGACAGCATACTCTATTCACAGACTCAAAAGGTTCAGTACCATCAAGCTGCCCATTCTTCTCAAATTAATCTATAAATTCAATACACTTCTAATCAAGGTCTTAGAGAATCTTTGCATAAATTGAGAAATTAATTCTAAAGCTAAATGGAAATACAATGGATATAAAAGTGCTAAAGGAAATCTGAGGAGGGCTGGGGGAAGGCCCAGTGGATAAGATGCTTGCAGTGTAGGTGTGAGGACCCGAGTTTGGATCCCCAGAATTATGTAAATGCCAGGCAGGCATGGTGCTTAGCTGTAACCCCAGCACTTGGCAGGCAGAGACAGGGGATTCCCCAGGGCAAGCTGGCTAGTTAGTTCAGCTAGCATTGGTGAGTCCCAGGTTCAGTGAGAGGCCTCACCTCACAAATAACATGGAGAGTCAGTGAAGAAGACACCCACATCCACTCTGGCTATGAACATGTGTACCCCCACACATGTATGTATGGCTATGCACACCTGTGCCCACACACATGTATGTATGGCTATGCACACCTGTGCCCACACACATGTATGTATGGCTATGCACACCTGTGCCCACACACATGTATATACACTACATTTACAGATAGACAATGGACTTTCATTTCCCAGCCACCCAGACCCAAATAATCACACAGAAACTATTAATTACAATACTGTTTGACCAACAGCTCAGGCATATTCCTACCTAGCTTTTATATTTTAAATTAACTCATTTCTATTTATCTGTGTATCGTCATGAGGCTATGGTTTACCAGTAAGATTCTGATGTTTTTCTCCTTTGGCAGCTACATGGTGTCTCCTTGACTCCGCCTACTCTCTCTATATATCTCTGTTCTGATTTCCGTCCTGGCTTTACTCTGCTAAGTCATTGGCCAAAACAGCTTTATTCGTCAACCTGTAAAAGCAACACATATACAGAAGGACATCTCACATCTTTCTAAATAAAAAGGAAGGTTTTAACTTTAACATAGTAAAATTACATATACAAAACAGTTTTCAAGAAGAATTATAGTTACAATGGTTAGTCCATTTACATTTGACAAATTAAGGAAAATACTCTATCATCTATCCTATCTTTGTGAGTCTAAAGTTTTATATCTAATTTATCTTTTATCATAACTAAGGAAAACAACTCTATCTAGTCTTCAACTCCATCAAAGATCCCAGAAGGGATCTATAATATAACCTAAGTAAACAGGAAGAAGTGCATTGTAAGCAACTTCCAATGTTCTAGAAATGACAGAGACATCTCACTGCCTGGATGACTGTCAGAGTTTTTATAGGTCCATAATATCTGGCAGACTTATCAGTGAAGCAGGAAATTTGAAGGTCTATTCAGCCTTGTAATGGCAAAATTTGTCAGTTGCTTTCTTCTGTGTCTTGCAGAAAGTCTGGCAATTTCTACTGTGAAGCAGGAACCCTGAAGGACCGTCACACCTTTTGGAAAGTTCAGCAGTCACTTTTCTGTGGGTCCTACATGTACAGTTTATTCAATATACCATCAAGCAGTCCAGGTAGGAGCAGTTTCTTGCTCAAATGGTTAGCCTTGTCACTTTGAAAGCAAATTCCATAACGAGTTTCTTCAATGCCCATCAACCTCTCTGAAGTAATTGGTGCTGCCAGAAGTAGACATATCTTACTGTCAAGAAAAGTCTAAGTTCTTAAGACATTTTAAATGCCATATTCTGTAGGTCTTTAAAGTGTTGAAGATTATCTATCAAACTGAAATATATCTCTGCATATCTAGAAAACCTAGCTAACATATTTAAAAGTTTGACTATTATAGATGATTATCTATTAATCTGTATTTCTTAATTATACATTACATTTTTAAATGAGCTGCACAAACACAATACCTTAAACAAGAACAAAAATACATAAACAAATTTGTGCACCAACATGGATAACTACATCCACATACAAACCTAAGGAAGCTTGGAAATGAATTCTAGACACA